ACAGAATGGAAAAACAGGATCCATCCTTCTTCTGCATACAAGAAACACACCTAAACTTCAAAGACAGACACTACTTCAGAGTAAAGGGCTGGGAAAAGGCTTTCCAATCAAGTGGGCTTAAGAAGCAAGCTGGGGGCTGGAGAGATGGCTCAGGGGTTAAGAGCACTGGCTGCTCTTCCAGAGGTCTTGAGTTCAATTCCCAGCAACCACATGGTGGCTCACAACCATCTGTAATGCAATCTGGTGCCCTCTTCTGGCCTGCAGGGATATATGTAGGCAGAATATTGTATACATAATAAATAAATCTTTAAAAAAAAGAAGAAGAAGAAGAAGCAAGCTGGTATAGCTATCCTAATATCTAATAAAATAGACTTCAAACTAAAATCAATCAAAAGAGATTGGGCCGGGCGGTGGTGGCGCTCGCCTTTAATCCCAGCACTCGGGAGGCAGAGCCAGGCGGATCTCTGTGAGTTCGAGGCCAGCCTGGTCTACAGCACGAGATCCAGGAAAGGCGCAAAGCTACACAGAGAAACCCTGTCTCGAAAAACCAAAAAAAAAGAGATTGGGATGGACATTACATATTTATCACAGGAAAAATTCACCAAGATGAAGTCTCAATTCTGAACATTTATGCCCCAAATACAAAAGCACCCACATTTATAAAAGAAACATTACTAAAGCTTAAATCTCACATCAAACCCCACACACTAGTAGTGGGAGATTTCAACATACCACTCTCACCAAAAGACAGATCTACCAGACTGAAACTTAACAAAGAAATAAAGAACCTAATATGTTATGACTCAAATGGACTTAATAGATATCTACAGAACATTCCACCCTAACACAAAAGAATATACCTTCTTCTCAGCACCCCATGGAACCTTCTCAAAAACTGACCACATGATTGGTCACAAAGCAAATCTCAACAGATACAAAAACATTGGAATAACCTCCTGTATCTTATCGGACCACCATGCCTTAAAGTTAGATTTCAACAACAACAAAAACTATAGAAAGCCTACAATCTCATGGAAACTGAATAATGCCCACCTGAAGCACCAATGGGTCAAGGAAGAAATAAAGAAATTAAAGATTTCCTAGAATTCAATGAAAATGAAAGTACAACATACCCAAACTTATGGGACACTATGAAAACAGTGCTAAGAGGAAAATTCATAGCTCTAAATGCACACATAAAGAAGTTGGAGAAATCTCATTCCAATGACTTAACAGGACAACTGAAAGCTCTAGAACAAAAAGAAACAAACTCACCCAGGAGAAATAGACACCAGGAAATAATCAAATTGAGAGCTGAAATAAATGAAATAGAAACCAAGAAAACAATACAAAGAATCAATGAAACAAAGTGTTGATTTTTTAAAAAATCAACAAGATAGACAAACCCCTAGCCAAATTAACCAAAAGGCAAAGAGAGAGCACCCAAATTAACAAAATCAGAAATGAAAAGGGAGACATAACAACAGACAATGAAGAAATCCAGAGAGTCATCAGGTCATATTTCAAAAACCTGTACTCCACAAAATTGGAAAATCTGGAAGAAATGGACAATTTTCTGGATAGATACCACATACCAAAGTTAAATCAAGACCAGATAAACTATTTAAATAGACCAATAACCCCTAAAGAAATAGAAACAGTCATTAAAAGTCTCCCAACCAAAAAAAGGCCAGGACCAGATGGTTTCAGTGCAGAATTCTACCAGATTTTCAAAGAAGAACTAATTCCAATACTCTTCAAATTGTTCCACACAATAGAAACAGAAGGAACATTACCAAACTCTTTTTATTAGGATACAGTTATCCTGATACCCAAACCACACAAAGATGCAACAAACAAAGAGAATTACAGACCAATCTCCCTCATGAACATTGATGCAAAAATACTCAACAAGGTGGGCAGTGGTGGTGCACGCCTTTAATTCCAGCACTCGGGAGGCAGAGCCAGGCAGATATCTGTGAGTTCGAGGCCAGCCTGGTCTCCAAAGCGAATTCCAGGAAAGGCGCAAAGCTACACAGAGAAACCCTGTCTCAGAAAAAAAAAAAAAAAACTCAACAAAATATTGGCAAACTGAATCCAAGAACACATCAAAAAAATTATCCACCATGACCAAGTAGGTTTCATCCCAGGGATGCAAGGATGGTTCAACATACAAAAATCTGTCAATGTAATACACCATATAAACAAACTGAAAGAAAAAACACATAATTATCTCATTAGATGCTGAAAAAGCCTTTGACAAAATCCAACACTCCTTCATGATAAAGGTCCTAGAGAGATCAGGAATACAAGGAACATTCCTAAACATAATAAAGGCAATTTACAGCAAGCCAACAGCCACTATCAAATTAAACAGAGAGAAACTCAACAGCGATTCCACTAAAATCAGGAACAAGACAAGGCTGTCCACTCGCTCCATATTTATTCAATATAGTACTTGAAGTTCCAGCTAGAGCAATAAGACAACAAAAGGAGATCAAGGGGATACAAATTGGAAAGGAAGAAGTCAAACTTTCACTCTTTGCAGATGATCTGATAGTATATATAAGTGACCCCAAAAATCTACCATGGAACTCCTACAGCTGATAAACACTTTCAGTAACGTGGCAGGATACAAGATCAACTCAAAAAAATCAGTAGCCCTCCTATACACAAATGATAAAAGGGCTGAGCGGGCTGGAGAGATGGTTCAGAGATTAAGAACACTGGCTGTTCTTCCAGAGGTCCTGAGTTCAATTCCCAGCAACCACATGGTGGCTCACAACCATCTGTAATGAGTTCTGGTGCCCTCTACTGGCCTGCATGGATATATGCAGGCAAAATACTATACATAATAAATAAATAAATCTTTAAAAAAAAGGGGGGGTGCTGAGAAAGAAGTCAGAGAAATATTACCCTTTACAATAGCCACAAACAATATAAAATACCTTGGGATAACACTAACTAAACAAGTGAAGGACCTGTTTGATAAGAACTTTAAGTCTCTAAAGAAAGAAATTAAAGAAGATATCAGAAAATGGAAGGATCTCTCAAGCTCATGGATAGGTAGGATTAACATAGGAAAAATGGCAATCTTACCAAAAGCAATCTACAGATTCAATGCAATCCCCATCAAAATACCAACACAATTCTTCACAGACTTGGAGAGAACAATACTCAACTTCATATGAAAAACCAAAAAAACCAGGATACCTAAAAGAATCCTGTATAATAAAGCAACCTCTGGAGGTATTACCATCCTTGACGTCAAGCTCTACTATAGAGCTATAGTAATAAAAACAGCTTGATACTGCCAAATAGTGAGACTGTCATAACATCATTTTCTGAATTATTATTCCTTCCCCTGGTATTCTAAAATGCTGGAGTGGGGATGGATGTCTTTAACAAGTATTTAAATCACCGGGCGGTGGTGGCGCATGCCTTTAATCCCAGCACTCAGGAAGCAGAGGCAGGCAGATCTCTGTGAGTTTGAGGCCTCCTTCCAGATGAACCAGCCTCAAGATGCATGTGGTGACTGAGGACTAGGCCCCACTTAAGATCTGTCTAGGGAGCTGAGTCTTAGTCTGAATCTTTCAACCCCAATCCAAACCACTCTGTCAAATGGGTCTGGGTCAGTAAGGTGGTGGGTGGGTAATAATGCTTGCTGCCAAACCTGATGACCTGAGTTCGATCCCCGGGGCCTGGTGGAAGGAGAGAACCCATTCACACAAACTGTTCTGACCTCCATGGGCACAGCAAGGCACCCCACACTAAACAAAATGAGACCAAATTGTCCAAAACATAAATGTACCCATTTCCCCCAAAAGGAATGTTTGCAGATTTATAAAGGAAACATGATTATAGTCTCCCTTCACAACCATCTCTTCCTATCAAAGTTTTGTCAACTATTTTCTTGGTGGGATCTGGACTTGTCCTAAACTCACAGCTGGTCCCACAGAAAAGAGACATCCTGTGAAGTTAAGTGTTTTGTCCAGTCTAACACATGTAGTTTTGGGTAAAGAACAAGGGTACTGCAAGAGGAAACATTTCTTTCTTTTTTTTTTTTTTCAAGACAGAGTTTCTCTGTATAGTTTTGGTGCCTGTCCTGGAACTCACTCTGTAACCCAGGTTGGCCTCAAACTCACAGAGATCCACCTGCCTCTGCCTCCCGAGCGCTGGGATGAAAGGCGTGTGCCACCAACGCCCGGCTGAGGAAACATTTCTTATGGTGTCCTTCATTCAATAGGATGAATAAGTCTACTGAGGGGGGACTCTGGAGTGGGACCACCAGGGAAGATTCTGTCACGGCTCCAGGAGGAGACAACGTCCTTTAGAAAAGCCATTAGAAACGCATATAAATAAGTGCAGTCGGTGGAAACTTAAGGCTTTTTAGAGAGCTTTTTTTCCTGGATGTTCAAGAGCATCCACGCCCCTCCCAGGGCCAAAGATTCGGCTGCGGGAGCTGCTGCTTCTCTCCAGAGGCAACTCGTGGAAGAGGGCTACTCTTCCACCTGCTTGGTGATTTTCGCAGTGGTCTAATCTCAACCCTTCGGTCACACTTCTTCGGTTAAGAAGAAAATGTTAATGCCGCCTCAGGGAGTACCGTTTCCTCGCTTTCCCTTGGTTCCGAAGGTCTCCCGGCCCCGGGTAGGTGCCATGTGGGGTCCTGCTGCTATCTGCTCTGGACTCCCCACAGGGTGAGACTCCCACCCTGGGTCACGCAACTAGTCGAAGTGGTGCCTAAGTTCCGAAGCCTGGCGGTGCTTCGTCCATCTTTTAGGTGACCAATCTTATTATAAACGGACCAGCTGGTGTTCCTGATTCTTTGTCGGAAATACTGGCTTCCGGCTTCTGAGCCCTACAGTGAACCCTGAGTCTTGCGTGGCTTAACGTCTTCAGCACCCCCAGACATCAACTACCGCTCCTCCACAGGACGGCGCTCCCCTCCACCAGAACCCACCAGCGCCGGACCAATCTTCCGCGTTTCCGCAGCACCGCGGCGGCGCTTCCCACAGTGCGCCGGGGCGCGCGCGGGGGCTCCTGGGAGTTGTGGTCCGGCGCCGCTCGTCGCTGCTGCGGCTGCTACGGGCTCGGCGCCGGCTTTGTCTGTCTGCGGGTGCGCGCTGCTGCGGTGAGTGAGGCCCAGGCCTGGTCTGTGCGCCCGGGAGAGGGGGCTGTGTCGTGAGCCCGCCGCCCCGGCCAGAGCGCGTGAACAGGCCAGGCCAGCTGGCCGGGCCGCAGTCGCCAAGCTGCTGACAAGGGTGCGCTGGTCGGAGAGTGGGTGGGCCGCAGTCTGCTGCGGAGGGGCCCCGCTGCGATGTCGGGGCCCCTGGGAGGCTGGGGCCCCGCGAGCGTGGGAGGGGCCACAGGAAGGTCCAGCTAGGCCCGGAGGGTGCAGAGTTCGTGCCCATGGAGATGAGAAGGGAGTGGCGTCCAGTGTAGGGGGAACTCACCCTCACCCACGAGCTCCTGATCGCTCCTTAAATTGCCGTGTTAAGATTTCCTCCGACCCCACAGATCATCCTGTCTGTCCTCCAGCCCCTCTCTCCTGAGAATGCACCATTTTAGGCCTTGAATTTGTAGGGTGTGTCTCAAATGTAAGAGATCGCTCACTTTCTGGTCATCAGTTCTTCCAAAAGCTAATGAGATGGTGTTAACTTGCTTAGTAAGTGAGGAAAACTAGAGTCGGGGCTCTTAAGCTGCTTTCCTCCAGATCGTACACCTAGGGAACCAAGGCAAGAATCCAAGTCTGGCAGAGCCTAATTCTGAGCTGTGATAGCATTTCTAATAGGAAAAGAGCAGTGTTTTGTGTAATGAAACCACGTTCTTCCAAGTGTCTTCGAGAATTTGATTGCTCTGACTTGAGATCAACAATTTCCTGTTGGCAGTTTCCTGTTATTAATCAGGGAGAGTCTGGAGACACATTTGAGGGGATATTTGTTGGCTACCTCTTAGCAGATGGAGAGGTTGAAGTATACGTTCTGTTCACTGATTTTTGACTTAACCGTGTTTTTTTATAGACACTCCAGTGACAGAAGTCCAACCCCAAGGAGGTGGCACCAAGTGCTTTTCTTTGTGAATGTGCAGGGGGTTTTGTTGGTTTTATTTCTAATCAATAGTATCTTGTATTTCTAAATGAATGCATTTGCACCATTTCAGGGGAGCCCTTTGTACTTTGTGTTCCAAGTTGGAAGTGAATGCTCTTGTCATCACAGTAATATGACTGAATGGGTAGAAGGGTCAGCTACTTGGTTAATAGAACAGGGAATTATAGCATCAGATTGCTAATTCATTAAGCTAGGAGTCCAGCATTTTGATTGGACATAGTGAAACAAAGATTATACTGTGTACCGCTCCATAAATATAAAGTGTACAAATCCAGGAATTTGATCCTTAAATAAACATTCCAAAGGGAGAAAGTGATGGTTTGGATCTAGGGCCTGCTAAGAATTGCCAGAAGGTAACAAGAAGTCTTTTGTTAGGTCCTTGTAGCTTCAGGGGAACTGGAAAGGAGAACTGGAGCTCTTCCCTCATACCAGTCAGGAAGGCTGAAATGTTGACTTCTTAGGCTTGAGGAACAAAATCAGCAACAGTTGCCTGGGAAGTGGAGGACCCCAATCTCATGTCAAGACCAAAGTACAACAGAAGTGACCCTTAACTGGGGACTAACAGGATGAAGTCCGTGCTCTGTGTCGTCTGCTGTCCACTGCCTCTTTGCTCCTCGGTCATTTTCTGTACAGTCAGTCCTGCTCTCGTTAGCCCACTTTGCATTGATACTACCTCAGGCAGTCCTGATTTCCTGTGCTTACACCCCAAACTGCACCTCCTGTTGACTTTCTTTCTCAGTAATCGGTTCTGCCCTTTCTTGTTTGCTCTTTGGTTTGGTTTGCTTTATTTTATTTTCTCTTCCTCAGGTACTCAAGCCCGGCCCATGGAAGAATCATATGAGGAAGTGGTGATTAAAGTCACAGAGCAGGAGTGGACATGTTTGGGTTTCCAACAGCTACCCTGCTGGACTGTCATGGAAGATATGCCCAGAATGTAGCATTTTTCAGTGAGTGAGTCAGCTGGTTGCTGGGATACCTTCAGAGTCCCTGTTCTCAGTACTGAGAAGCAGAAGATGCATTCATTTGGACAGGAAAAGCCTGCAAGCTGGCATTGGAAATGATGGAACAAAGCAAGGAAAGAAACAGTCTGATATGGAGGTTGTCTCCTGTAGAGAGTCCTGAGGCTGTCTCAGGCCGAATGAGTCTCTTTAGCTCTCAGCTCTATCACTGAGTATGAAAAAGTTAGGGAAACGAGGAAGAGACTTCTCTGGGATGACCCCTAGAAAATGAATAGACTGGATCAATTGTACTGTAGCTTAGTAGACTGAAAAACAGCATGAATTTTAAAAGAAGAAATTCCAATCATATTTGCATTATTAAAGAAGTTATGTCCTTCCTTAAGCTTCAGGCTTTTCCTCTGTATCATGGGATAGACAAGAGGCTGCATCCTGTAAGAATTCATGGCATAGGCATAAAATATCTGAAATTTTGCTGCTTATTTCCTGAGATCATAAATACTGTCAGGAGAGTGGACTGGAATAGGGTGACTTTCATGCCGACAGTACAGTGTAAGCCTCAGGGCTTCTCACGAAAATAGGTCTCTCCTGTGCTTGATTTTATGCTTGTGTTTAAAGGGATGCTTTTAAGGTTTTCAAGCTTTAGTCCCTTTGTATACTGACTCTACACCTGTTTGGGAGTCAGCTAAAACTTGGAAGGGGGGAAAAAACTTGTGTGATTCTCTGTATAATTTTCTTATTTTATGAGCCTGTTTTTATTGCTTATAAAGTAATCATCTTAGGGCTGGAGAGATGGCTCAGTGGTTAAGAGTACTGGCTACTCTTCCAGGGGACCCAGGTTCAATTCTCAGCACCCCCTCCAAAAAATAAAAATAAAATAACAATAATAATAATAATAGTAGTAGTAGTAATACGTGTCTATCTCCCAAGAATTTGGGAGGCTACGTTAAAGTTAAAAGCAGTACATAGCTATGGAGCATGCTAATATTTGAATCCTACAGATAATACACCTATTAATAGTTATGTGACCTCCCTATGCTCTCACTTTCTTATCTGTAGCAATCTCAGGATGATTTTCAGGATTCAGTTATGTATGCAAAGTTCATAGTAAAATGCCTGGCACATAATAAGCACTCTAAGGGTTATGTTTCTTTTTTCCCTGTTCTTCTCACTCAGCATATTGGTGCATCTTACATGACTTCCCTCTCGTTTTACCAGATGTGATGACAGAAGCCCACAAATATGATCATTCAGAGGCCACAGGATCGTCAAGCTGGGATTTCCAGAGTTCTTTCAGAAGAGAGAAGCTGGAACAAAAGTCCCCAGATTCTAAGACACTACAGGAAGACTCCCCTGGAGTGAGACAGAAGGTCTATGATTGCCAGGAATGTGGGAAGTCTTTCCGGCAAAAAGGTAGTCTAACATTGCATGAGAGAATCCACACTGGTCAGAAGCCTTTTGAGTGCACCCAGTGTGGAAAGAGCTTCAGAGCCAAAGGCAATCTAGTTACACATCAGCGAATTCACACAGGAGAGAAACCCTATCAGTGCAAAGAGTGTGGGAAAAGCTTTAGTCAGCGAGGCAGTCTAGCTGTTCATGAGAGACTCCACACTGGACAGAAACCCTATGAATGTGCCATTTGCCAGAGAAGCTTCAGGAATCAAAGTAACCTTGCTGTTCACCGAAGAGTTCACAGTGGTGAGAAGCCCTATAGATGTGACCAGTGTGGAAAAGCTTTCAGTCAGAAGGGGAGCTTAATTGTCCACATCAGAGTTCACACAGGTCTGAAGCCCTATGCGTGTTCTCACTGCAGGAAGAGTTTCCACACCAGGGGGAATTGTATTCTGCATGGAAAAATCCACACAGGAGAAACACCCTATCTCTGTGGCCAGTGTGGGAAAAGTTTCACCCAGAGAGGGAGCCTGGCTGTGCACCAGCGAAGCTGCTCACAAAGGCTCACCCTGTAACCATTCTCTTCAAAGGAAGTTCTTAAGAATTAAGAATACAAAACCCTCTGTAATCAAGAAAGTTATCTAATTCTATAGGGTAAGTGGAAATTCTTCCAGAAGGACCAGTATTTGATAGGACAAACTGACTTTTTCCCTTTCCCCCAAATGAATATGAAAAATAAATGTCTTGTTTTGTCATTATCATGTATTTTTCATAACTTCTTTATTTTGATCCAGTTTCTAAGGTACACTCATTAATCTCTCATGTCACACTTGACCTTGTTCTTAGTATAGCAGATACAAATTTTAGATTTGTAGCGTATACCATAAGCCTTTTTTTAAAATCAATTCCTGGGCTGTAGAGAAGGCTCAGCTCTTAAAGGTTAGGCTCACAATGAAAAAAAAAAAAATTAGCTCTTCATCAATCTCAAGGTCCTTTTCTTCTGTATACAATTTACTCTGCATTCAAGACCACTGGGCAGAATCCAGGGGATAAATCTGTTTTATTAATATTTTTGTTGGATCTAAATAATGAATCAGCTCAGTAACCTAATAGACTGCTACTGTCCATAGCAGAGGCCCTAGCCTTATAAAACAAGTTTTCCTTACAAGCTTGCAAAGGTTTGGAATATGCACATTGAGATTTTCTTCAGCCCTACACTTCTAATTATAACTTTTTTAATTTTCTAAAAATCCTATACTTACATGTTACTTTCCATTAAGGGAATTCCAAACTCCCTGAGAAACACAATGGCCTTCAGTCTTTTTATGGAGACAGTGTTGAGGTTGGGAACACCTAGAAAGAAAGGACTTGTCATTCTAACTGGAGCCTATACTACTTTGTAGTCAGTAATGACAGTCAACTCCTCCAGCAATACTGTGCTCCTCCTACAGACTGACAATTTGGAAACATAACTCCCTCTTAATTCTATTTTAACCTTCGTGGGATGAGATCTGAAGAAAATTGAGAGAGGAGAGGTTGGTTTGTGGGGAAATTTTTATTTTTTAATCTGAAGCCACTGTAATTCTTCATGCTGAGCATTTCTGTAAATAACTTAAGAATAATGTAGAGAAGTTTTCACATTAAGGTACCATCTTAGTTAGGATTACTATTGCTGATGAAACACTGCAGTGAGCCGCAAGAATATATTATAGAGATTCAGCTGTATATAATAAGCTATACCTTGACCTAATAGACCTAATAACTCCAAATAACCAAGGAGTCCTTCCAGAGGAAGCCATTTATCAAGGAATATTTAGTGTTATTTAGCTTTTAATATATATCAGCTGTTTTCTGCTATGAAATTCTTGTGTGCCCATATACTAGGCTCTATGGCAGACAGGTAAGCTTCTCAGACCTACTGCTCTTCACTGCTGAGCCCTCTCTTCAGCCCCTCTACAACCTTATCTTTTTGTTGTTGTTTTGTTTTATTTTATTTTATTTTGTTTTGTTTTTCAAGACAGGGTTTCTCTGTGTAGCTTTGCACCTTTCCAGGAACTTACTCTGTAGCCCAGGCTAGCCTCGAACTCACAGAGATTCACCTCCCTCTCCTTCCCAGGTGCTGGGATCAAATCATGCACCACCACCACCTTGCTACTACAACCTTATCTTAACAGAGGCATTTTCTTAATTGAAATTCCCTCCTGTCAGATGACTTTAGCTTGTGCCAGGTTGACATACAGCCATCCAGCACAGGTACCATTCTGTTCTTTGTAGTAGACCTTATAAGCCATAGCCTCTTTAATCCCAAGAGGCTCATGAAAACAATCATCATCTACAGGGGTAAATTATGTCAAAGGTCTTTGGGCATTCAAATTTTATGGATTTGATTAGTGAGAGAGAGTACTCTCAGGAATACTTAGATAACATTTGAAGATGTATACAAAACTAACATTTCCATTTGTAGTGACCATTTGTAATCACACACTAAAAATTTAAATTAAACTGGAATATTATGCAGTGGAATTAAACCCAGCAATAAAATATGTCCACAAAACATGAACAGTATTATGGATATATCAGAAAATCTTACATTGAAAGAGTCTGAGCACAGATATATAGTGTATGACCCCTCCCCCCGTATTTCTTCATGCAACAAGAAGAGCTGGTAGTGACTTGAAATATCTTCAAGTGGAATGTGCATGAGTCCATATAGTCCTTACCATCCACTGAATGCACAGTTAAGATCTGCATATGTAAGGCATACCGCAGTAACAATCAGGCAGTTTTAGCAAACTGCACACAAGTCCTTTGTCACTCATTCTTGAAAAGTCGGTGTCTCAGTCACCTCTGTCTACACAGGCTGATAACCCAAGAAGTTAATAGAAGACAGAAATGATGCCACATTGCTTCAGTGATAGGCACCAAAACCCTTACAAGGTCAGCAAAGTTTGCCTACTTTTGGAATACTTGCTATGGGAAATCAGCTACCATGATTAAAAAAAAGAAAAAAGAAAAAAAAAAGAAGCCACTGTAATGTATAAGCTCCGTGTATGGTCCAATTGATAGGTTCAGCTCAACAGACAGCATCAACCCTCTTTTTTTTTTTTTTTTAAAGACTTTTTTTTTAATTTTATATATGAGTGTTCTATCTGCATGTATGTCTGCAGGCCAGAAGAGGGCACCAGATTGCATTACAGATGGTTGTGGGCCACCATGTGGGTGCTGGGAATTGAACTCAGGACCTCTGGAAGAGCAGCCAGTGCTCTTAACCACTGAGTCATCTCTCCAGCCCCAGCATCAATCCTCTTAATTTTGTTTCTCTTGCTATGATGAGAAAAGCAAGTTAGGGAAGAAAGTGTATTTTGGTTTACATTTCCATGTCAAGGAAGGTATGGCCAAAGGAACATGAAGCCAGATAGGGCTGAGCTATAGAACCTCAAAGCCCACTGCAGGTGACATACATCCTGCAGTATGGGGGGCGGGGGACACACAACGACATGACGGGGATGACACAAGACCAAGTGTTAAAACTCGTGAGCCCACTGGATGATGGTGGCGCACCCTTTTAATCCCAGCACTAGAGAGGCAGAGGCAGGTAGATCTCTGTGAGTTCAAGGACAGCCAAGGCTACACAGAGAAACCCTGTCTCAAAAAAAAAAAAAAAAAAAAAAATGTGAGCCTATGAGCATTTTGCATTCAGACCACAACAGATCTCCAGCCACAATAATGCGTACATCCCAAGAAAATGTTAGGTGCCTACAGTCTAAGCTAACATTCGGTGAATCTTGACTTGTAGTGTCAGCCAAGCCCTGTTCTTATCTGGATCCCCTCCTAAGCACGTCAGGGGTGGCAGAATGTACTTCCTTATAGTTGAGTTGAGAACTCCAGCTTCTCACTGGCTATTGAATTTAGTCTAAGGAGCCTGCACAAGTTTTCTGACACCACGTGACCATTTTCTTGAACAAAGAGAAGCTGTCCTTGCAGTTGCTAAATGCACAGGCCTATGATAATGTTATAGCAGTGACATTGCTTCACATTTACCATGGTATACCAGTGGGAAGCAGGTCTCGGGTTCTATCCACACTCAAAGGTAGATGATACAAGGGGATGACTCATTGGCACCAAGCCTAGAATATTCACTTTCTTCTTTTGTTTGTTTGTTTGTTTCCAGACATGGGCTCACTAAGTAGCCCTAGCTATCCCAGAACACACTCTGTAGACCAGGCTGGCCTCAAACTCACAGAAATCCACCTGCCTCTGCTTCTGAGTGCTGGGATTAAGGGTGTGTGTAACTATGCCCAGCTAGAATATTCATTTTCTATGGATGCTGAAACAAAGTACTAGAACTGAGTGAGTTGCGACAAGAGTAATGCGTTATCTGATAGTTTGGGAGGCTAGAAATCTGAAATCAGGGTATCTTCAGGGCGATGGTCTCTCTGAAGCATATAGAGTAGAAACCTTCAACTCCTGTTGGTTGCTAGGAATTCTTGGTTTCTTAACCAGCTACAGAATTTCATTTCTACTTGTATGGTCTCATGGCATCCCTGTGTGTTTCTTTGTCTCATCTTACATAACACAAGTCCTGTTGGGTTAAGGACCTATCTTACTCCAGTCTGGCCTCATCTTAGCTAATTACATTGGCAAAGACTATCAATAATCAGGCCACTGAACCCATTACACTTTCAGCATGTCTGCCATAGTGTCAGAAACATCCGTTGGAGAAAAGCACGTACATCTACCATAATGGATCTACAGATACAGTTCAGGACATCTGCATCATTGGGAATCTTGGTAGAAATCAACATTATCAGCACCTGTCTGACACCTCCCAAAACTGTAAGTGGGCAGAGAGAAGGGACGGAAGGGACCACAATCTTTAAATATGCCTAGTACCCATTTGGTTCGCCAGCTGTGTAATTTCTAGAACTTCCTGCCCATAACTTAGGGTATCAAGAGAGGGCACATCTTTTTCCATGGTAGGTTCCTGATTATTAGGCTTCTATTCAAGGTGCAATGCCACAGTAGACTACAAAATCCAACATCAGTAGTAAATGTGTGGTTTCTTGTTGCTTGGATTCTAATGGCTCCCTCAGGGGAGGGGGGTGAGAAGGCACAGACACCAGGAGTCCATTGAAGGCAAATAACAAACTCATTTATTCAATAACAGGGAAGACCTTATATACCCTCCTCTCAGTTCCCAGTCTGTGTGGTCGTCTCTTATTGGCTGGGCACAATTAAGAACTCTTTGACAATAACTGTTGCTAGGCCCTCAGGCAGACTCCAGGTTGGCTCATAAAGAGTACATTATGTGCATACCTTGGCAACTGGTCTGAGCCAATTCCCTTGACCCTATGGGCCTGTCCTACTACAGTTTCTGACCTAACTTTTTAAGATTTTTTTTTTAATTTTCAGTTATGAGTGGGTCAAAATGAGTTCCTACCTTTTGTAATGCATTTCTGGCACTCTTATACTAGAAGGGTGTTTATGTCAGTGCTTGGACACTTTCATACTGAAAGGATGTTTACAGCAGTGCTTGACTTATCGGTCTTGGATAAGTGCTGAGGGTTGTTGTTTAAGTTTCATTGTGGAGACAATTGGTTCTGATTTGTGGGAGAAGGAGAGGCTAGGGTACTCAGCTACTTGTCCTGTGGTCAGAGGGCCTAAGGATCAGTGGGAGCCAAATGTTTTAATGCTGTGGAAAATGTCATCGGATTTCCTTATGGTGATTGTATTGAATTTCTAGACCATTTTTGGTAAT